CTCCAGCAAGCAGCTAATGCAGGCGAATCAATCGAAGGAAGTGCAGTGTCAGCACATTTGCATTGATAATTCCAGTGCCGATGTGAATAACACAACAACAATTAGCACATCCTTTTTAATCTTCATATCAACACTAATGACTCCACACCCAACGGTTTCGTCGCCTATATCGATTCTTTCACAAAGTGCTTGCCGCTGCCCCAACTAGCAACCGCGTAAAATACGTCCACTATTAAACCCCTAAGGCGTCGTTAGCGTACCCGTTGACTAATCCAATAGCAACCGCATTCACTCTCATACCTACTTTCCAGCCTGTGACAAATCAACGGAGTTGCGTATCTGTACCCTCCCCAATACTCCACGTATTTGTATGACCTCCTTTGCACAGCTGTGCTGCTAAATATTACCGACTGCTGAAAGATGCCACGATCAATTTTATCGCCTCTCAAACTAATATTATTCATGAAACTGCTGGTCGCCATATGTTGCAAAGAATCGTTTGCCATCGCCAGCGAAAATATGCCAACTAAAGGTAAGTGGAATGCGAATGAATTTACATATAAGCATACATACATACATACATATACACCAATTTTCTTTTTACAAATAATTACAAACTATATAAAAATAGTTCTTGGCTATAAACAAACACGTAATTAAAAACGGGACAAGAATTTATTAGTGGTAAGCAAAAAAAGAAAAATCGACCTAACGGCTAAAATTTTTGTGGAGGTAGGTATATCTTTCCATTTAAGTAATATACTAGCAGACCCGGCGAACTTCGTCCCTCCCAAAATTAATTTTTTTATTGAAACATTTCAACAACATTTTAACCAACCATTCACGTTCAAGATTTATCTGCTAATATTATGGTTTGGGGGTCGTCGAAGCAGTTCCTGAAATTCCCCAATGATCTGGCGTTTTATAGCACGGTTAATCGCACAACGAAATGAATTTGAAGAACTATGCCCTCTTCACTCCCTGGCGGCAACACTGATCCCGTTCAATGTTGAATCTAGGGTTGCCAACATTTTCTAAGAAATTTATAGTACTTAAAAAAAAAAAAATCTGAAAAAATATAGTACACTTCAAATATATATCGTAATTTTTTTTTTAAAGAAGAAAAGAAAAATGCCTTTTAAGTGCACATATTTTTTCTTTCGTATGCATTTCCTCTATAAAAAATATATTTCTTTGAAAGTATCATATGTTTCATCACAATCAATATTTAAATTAATATAAATCAATAGTAAATTTTTTATTAGTGAGATGGTCGCTTTATTTCTCCCATAATAATCGTAATAGAAAAAAATCTTTGTTCAAATGCCGAAGTTGCAGGAATAGAGAGCATAAGTGAAATAATTTTAAGTAAATTTGGTTAATCTTTCTAAGGGCCAAATTCACACAGTGCGGAGTTAACTCAGAATCGACAGTTAGCTACAGATTTTTGCACTGAATACTATCGATTTTGAGTTAACTACGCACTGTGAATTTGGCCCTAAGTATTTTTAAAAATGTTGCCATTTTTAATCTGTGGACCCTTTGTTTTAAAGTATATTTCCTTTAATATTGTTATTTCAGTATAAATGCCATCCATCTTATCACATTTCTATCTTGAAAATTACTGAAATATATTTATATTTATAATTGAAGAAATATAATATTTTTGCATACTAAATATGTATATTTTTTTCCAGCAGTATATAAGTAGTACGCAGACCCAAAAAATAGTACAATACTATATGTATATTATAGTACGGTTGGCAACCCTAGTTGAATCTATCTCTGAAGCTGTATAGTATAGTTGGTGGTTATTTCAAAATGGATTGTTCTACAGAAACCCAAGAACATGTACACTTA